GGACCTCAGTCGGCACAAGGCGTGATTCCCCTTGGGTGTATTTCTTCCTTGCGCGCAGAGCAGGACAGCGTGTACCACCCCAGGCACTGGTGAAGCAGCTGCAGTGCAAAGAGGCTGGATGAATCAGAAAGGCCGCCCGAGCACAGGGAGGCAGGCAGGGCAGCTGATGGGGGGTGAGGGGCAGTGCAAGGGGCTTCCCTGCACATCCCAAGCCCCTGGAGCAAACTGCTCCTGCATGAAGGGCCCTGTGCACCGAAGCAGCAGCACAGGCAGCCCTCACAAGAGGGTTTCTTCTGAGCCTTGCCACTTGTAGAGGTACATGCACATGAGGGAAACACCACTGCTGCAGAGGCCTCCTTCCAGCACTGCTCTCCTTTGAGGACCACGTTCCCACACCACCACACCCCGTCCTCTCCATCCATCCGTGCTGGCCACTGCTGCCTCCAGCTCCATCTTACTGTGGCCACTGCCCCAGTGGGAAAGAACTTGAGCAAGTAATTCCTGCACCTAGCAAGCTGAAACAGGATCCCACTTACACTCCTCCAGCTTCCATTCCCCTTTTTTATCTTTTATGGAAATAAAGTACTTTCTATGATGATAAAACTGGAGCGGAGATGTTCAGCGTTCCACCAGAGCAGAAATTTAGGATTGAAGTCACGGGCAACCTTGACTTCTCTAAGGTAAGATTGTACTGGATGGTGTCCAAGATGAACTCCACTTGACCTTAAAAGCAGTACTTAATTTTCAGCTGGAAACCAGAGTTCCCACACAGGCTGCTCAGGGCACATTTTGCAGCTGGTCAGAACAACACCATCCGTACAAATATTTATTTTTCTGACAGATGAAATGGTCTCATCGCATTCACTGCAGTGACACAGATGACAGCAACCCTGCAGGGAGGCACACACTCTCTCTGGGTAACCGCAGGGCTGTGTGCCCTTCGTTCCCCTTGCAGCCACGGGCCAGGGGGCTGAGAAATGACCTCAGTCTGCACAAGGCGGGATTCCCCTTGGGTGTATTTCTTCCTTGCGCGCAGGGCAGGACAGCGTGTACCACCCCAGGCACTGGTGAAGCAGCTGCAGTGCAAAGAGGCTGGATGAATCAGAAAGTCAGCCCGAGCACAGGGAGGCAGGCAGGGCAGCTGATGGGGGGTGAGGGGCAGTGCAAGGGGCTTCCCTGCACATCCCAAGCCCCTGGAGCAAACTGCTCCTGCATGAAGGGCCCTGTGCACCGAAGCAGCAGCACAGGCAGCCCTCACAAGAGGGTTTCTTCTGAGCCTTGCCACTTGTAGAGGTACATGCACATGAGGGAAACACCACTGCTGCAGAGGCCTCCTTCCAGCACTGCTCTCCTTTGAGGACCACGTTCCCACACCACCACACCCCGTCCTCTCCATCCATCCGTGCTGGCCACTGCTGCCTCCAGCTCCATCTTACTGTGGCCACTGCCCCAGTGGGAAAGAACTTGAGCAAGTAATTCCTGCACCTAGCAAGCTGAAACAGGATCCCACTTACACTCCTCCAGCTTCCATTCCCCTTTTTTATCTTTTATGGAAATAAAGTACTTTCTATGATGATAAATATTGTTACTCCCCACCTTTTTTTTTTTTTTAACTAGCATTTCTATTAACTTTTTTTTTTTACTTTCTATTTGAAACATTTTGCTCCAGCACATCTCCAGAGATTTTTCTGCAACAGCAAATCTCCAAAGAGATTCCTCCGTTACAACCAGGGTAGGACACAAAATGGACTTTGCTTTGCTAAACTTAGGTTTTTTTCCACCTCTCCTAGTCTCACCTGACACCCACAGTTTTTCATCTTGCATTGGAAACCTTTGGAATGGGTTGCCATTTAGAAGAAGCACCAAAAAGCTTCTCTTTCTCTCCTAGCTCAGACACCTCATTAGAAATAGGATTAAGCTATTTTTTAACCAAACACAGACAAACATAAACAGAAATAACCACAGATACCTCTGCAGCCACATGTACCTCCCTAGTGCTGGCCTACAAATAAAAACAGTAAAATCCATTCTAAAAGGAGGATTGTGTTTCTTTCTAAAGCACCAGTTGCACAGTAGTAATTTTAGAAATTAAAGACAGCTTGAACCTGCTGCTAGATTATTTTTAACAGGAGCTTTGTATGCAAGGGCAGTTTGGAGGCCGCCAGCCACAGAGGGCAGGAGGGCTCTGAAGCAAAGCCTCAACTGCAGCCAGGAATCCTCTGCACATGAGATGAGTTCAAACCAATTTATAAGAGTGGGCAAAAGAGTGAACTGCTGACGTTTGAGCTTTTAGGAAACTGCCACCATGCGTGAACATGACTTTTTCTTCTTAGTTTTCCCGTATCCAGTCAGATGATGGGGAAGTGCTCTACTAAAAACATAGGTGAGGCAATGCAGCTGGTGTTGGGCAGCTGGGAAATGAGCAGAGTTCAAGGTTCAGCTGTTATTAAAAAGCACACAAATCTTTCTATATTTATTCCCACTTTACAGCTCCAAATAAAACACATGCAGTCCTGATGAGTTTATAACTCTAAATACGATGCTGGAGAAAAACTCTAAGGCTCATCTGGGAAAACCAAACTGATACATACAAAAGCACCTTTTTTTAATTTTTTTATTTTCTTTTTACTACTGCCACATATACAGCTAGACTTCTAAAAGCACACTACTAGCCCTAGGATTAAATGTAACAAGATAGAAGCACCACTCTCTTACAAACACAGGCACGACTTGAAATCCAGCAGCCTGTTCCTCACCCCAGCTCCACCACAGACCTCCTCGAAAAGCTGCTCAGGAGGATCTATACACTGCAGCATACTAAATGCTCCAGCAAGCTTCATGTCTGGGTCTGACAAGTGGCAGGCAGCTTGGTGGGGCCAGCTGGACTATTTACCCTACTTCCTGGGCAGACTTCACAGGGCTCACCATCACTGCTCCCAGTCTGATACCTCTGGCACAATAAGCAGCACCCTCCCTGCAATAAGCAGAAAGCAAGTGGGCAGAGACGTGCCCCTCATCCTGGGGCATGGCTCTATTTTTCTGGAGAAAGAATAAGCACGATGTGTAGCCTGGGTCATTAAAGCCCTTGGCTGCTTTCACCAAAGGTCCCTCAGAAGGGCCAAACGATTGCAGCGAGTAGAAGTTACGCACAGAGTGAAAACACTAAGACCAGACAGACAGTGCAGCAGCTCTGACTGAAAAGGCGGCTCCAGCGCTGGCAGATCCCGCTGGTGATACTCACACCCTGCCCAGACCCTCCACACAGTACTGGTGCACCCTAATGCCAGAGGTGGTGGCACCCCGAATGCCAGACCAGGCATTTTGAAAAAATACTTCTATAAAGTAAAAAACCAACAAACTTAGCTGCAGCGGGGAGGCTGAGGAATGAAAACAATCATCCCCCGTACCAGAAGGCAGGCAGTGGCACAATCCAAAGCATCTTTTCTACATGCCTCGTGAGCATCTGTTAAATAGCAAACAGCAACCACCACCAACTCAAAGAGCTGTGGCACACTCCAGGCGGCAGGTAACTCAATAACCACCTCCTTTTTTCCCCCTTCCTTTAAACCCAAAGAATCTGCCACAGGCAGCAGGCCCGGCAGAGGGTACTCACTGCAGGCTCCGCAGGTGAAGCAGCTGTCGTGGTAGAGGTTGCCCATGGCCTGGCAAGCCTGGTTTGCTCCATACACCCCCTTGCTGCATTTCACACAGGTGCCTGAAAGAGAGAGAGGGAGACAGAGGTCATAACCAGGACCTGGTGGGGCAGCTGGGGTCACTGGCTGGGTGACCACACCTGTAATTAACTCAGCACAGCAGCTCAGCAGCTTAGGACCAGGCGGTTCGTTGTAGCCACAATACGTAGGTGACATCAGCATCACCCACTCTGAGACATGCTCTTAACAGCGGCCACAACAATTATGAAACCTTCACAGAAAAAGCCAAAAAAGTGAAAGAGAAAAAAAAGTAAACTAGACAACAGCAGCCCTGTTGTTTGTCTACAGTGACATCTCCTTCCTCCACCCATTCGTTTGCACAAACTTTATATACATTTAAAACCACTTAGTGGCCCTCCCAGAAGCCTGGGTGGTAGTAGTTGGTGCTCATGGCTGTTCACAGACCAGTAGTTTCTGCTACTTCTTGCATCAAATAAGCTTGTTGGTTGCAAACAATGTGAGGAAAACACACATCTTCACTCAGCCCCTTTGTCACCGACTTCAGACCTCACTCACACCTGCTGAAAGCCCTAAGACCCATACCTCCATACAGAGCTGGACTGACTACCTGACATCTCTCTGTTTTCCCTCTGTCAGCCACATCTGAAGAGGGACCCAACGTAGGCACTACGCACAGATCATGTATCCTGACAGACATTGTTCTTGCTTCTTGCAGGACAAGGCAAGAAAAAAAGTGAGTTTTAAGGAGAGGATACTTGGTGGTGGTGGCATCACCAGCCGAGGAGGGCTGACTTTTAGGTCGCCCATGGTGTGAAGGAGAGCTGGGGCCAGCACACATGGTCCACTTCTGGCTGTAAGCTGTCCCACCTGCAAGTCCAAGCTGCTCCTCTCACCCAGGCTTTCCTGCCACCACCATCACCAAAAGACCAGGGCCAGCTCTGGAGCTCCAGAGGAGGGAGAAGATGACCATGCTCAGTTCAGCTTCGTCTCTTGCCAGCACAGCCAAGCACATTTCCAGCAGCACCTGCCCCGGTGTGGGGCTCCAACTTGAAATCCAAACCAGGCAGACAGTGTAGTGTGAGGTTATCCACCTCATGAGGAAGCTGTTGAGAACCCTTCAAGCAGGGGTCTGACCAGGGCCGGGAATGGCAGCAACAAGGCAGATGTAAGGTGGTGGTGAAGGGGAGCGACCACAGAGAGGACTTTGGCACTGTAGGTTTGCAAATCGTGTTGTGTGTTCATGTAAGGCCTCTCAAATCTCACTCCATTTCCACACAAAACTATTTTGCTAACAAAGCAAGAAGTGACAACAGAGTTTCACACCCTCAATGGCACCCAACAGCAGGACCCGCTTCCTCCACCTCGCAGGGAGAAATGCAGTGAAGCTGCCCAAAACCACTGTCAGTGGCTGGGGTGAGAAAGTCCTTGTCCAAGGAAAATGACAAGGAAAAAGCCCGTTCACTTATTTCAGGCATTTTAAGCAGCATCACCCTTTAACTACCTCTAAACAAGCAACTTGTGAAGCACAAGCAGAAAATGTGCTTCTGCTCCTTGGTGACTGTGCAGATGTGACTTTGCCTCCAGGTCTCCTTCCACTACTGGTCCAAATCCCTGGGGCAGCAGGGACTGTCAGTCATGCCTCACTCCTAGTGGTCCAAAGAAGAGGGACAGCATCACGTTGGTGGAGAACCTTAGTCATGCTGTGGTTAGAAAACCTTCACTTATTTCAGGGCCCCACAAGCTTCAGAGTAATTGGAAAGGTCTGGTGGAAGTTAGGAAGAAATCCAACGTAGTTACGACAGCGCTGAAAAGTAACTCCCAACTCTGGCAGCACCACGCTGGCAGTCCCAGGGTGCCTAAGAATTTCTTCCTGGAGCTGAGAGCTGCAGCCATCAGTTTTCACACTACAGGGATAAAAACATTCCGGAGCCCTTTGCAGGAGCACACACAGGGCTGCTGAAAAGCAAACACTTCATTTTCCCCAAGCAGCCCTGGCTCTCTGTGCTCTGTCTGCCTGCCTGCCTTCAACCAGTACACTGAAAGCTGCCTCCGAGCCCCACTGCACTCAGAGCCAGAGTCCAAACTGACACAAACCCGGAGAGAAGGCTGCAGAGAATAATTAGTTACTCTGTTCTGTCCAAATCTGACCTGAGCTGAAACGCTGGCTTGGCTGGGGGCCCACACAGTCTGGCACCAAGTTAGCAAAACTTGCTGTTTCTTTTCAAACCAGGGACATTTATCCTGGTTATTTATTGAAAGAAACCTTTCAAGAAAGCAAAAGATAAATCAGGCAGGCATTAAAAAAAGAGACAAAGATGAGAAAATGTGGCTTTTCAAACTGATGTGCTCTCCCAGGAACAAGAGTTCTCCCAGGTCAGTGGCAGCCTGAGATGCTGTACAAACACCTGACACAAGAACTAACAGCTACCTCACAAAATTCTCTCCTGACAACAATGATGATGAGTGGAAAGTTTTGAGAGTAAAAAACCTGCTGATTTTGCTGCTCAAAGCCTTCTTTCCACGACATTCACTAGGCTCTCCACAGAACTGATGTATTTATTGCATAGTAATGGCTGCATTTTTCCCTTCTCCGTGCCAATGAGTGGCTGCTCCAGAAAACACCACCAGCGTGCTCTGATTTCCTCCTTTCCAGATAGGAGCCACATGATGCTGAATACAGATGAGCAGCACGAAGAAGCAGGAGGCAGGAGGCACAACAGCTGAATGCAGGTGCCGTGCACAGTAAAGACAGTGGCAGGTGTCTAAAACCATGACAGAACACCCTAACACAAATCCCACAGAGGGCAGAAATGGCCTCTGCTGTCTCCTGTACATCCCATTTAAGCTTTACAGGGTAGGAATGGCCTGTGATTTCCAACAGGACAGACAGTATGGCCAGATCCTGCAGGAGATGCCTGGGCTCCTGAATCCTTTCTCAAACATTCCTCCACCTCCCACTCCTCAACTTTCCTGCACCATCCTTTCCCCTTTCTTTCAGTATATGCTCCATTTCATCCCCTGCTTAACTCTTTTAGCCACTTCTTTAAATATTTAGGCCCTTAAAACATGGAAAATAAAGTTATGGAATTAAAGGGCTTTTAAAATAAATCGACAATGTTGTCTGTAAAAACCATAATGTGCTAAATCACCCAACTATGCAATTGCCAGCCATGTTATAAATATTTAGAGATGTCCTGTGGCAAGGCTGACAAATGAAAAGTGGTGTGCTGGCAATTCTGTGTATAGTTTATATTTTTACTAGTATCTGCTAAGTCTTACTTAAAAGCAAATTAAATCTCAGTAGAAATTGGAATTATTCTAGAAATAAGTCTTCACTTCTTCCAAAGAGAATATTCTGAAGTATTTTAAGCAACACACTTGAGCCTTCATCTCTGACTCTCAGCACACCTGGCCTGAAAGGGGAAAAAAGGGTGTTTTCTTATTGATTTTCCCTTTCCACTTTTTTTTAGCCACTTGCCTCCTGCTGCCACAAGGATCCTGTTCTTTGGGCTGAGGTACTGCAAGGAAAAAGCAGTGCCTGTTGCTGCGGGTGGCCGGTCACTGAGCTCAGCAACCTGTGTGCAAAGCCAACCCGATGGAAGACACTGCCATTCCAAGCCCATCCCGCCACGGAACAGGCTCTGCGCCCTGCTCCGCGCCGGCTCCCACCGCCGCTTCCCGAAACAGTGCTGAGTGTGCTTTCTGCTCGCCAAGGCACAGAGTTAAAATGTCAGCAGCATCAGTCCAGCCCCACATGCCGCTGACACTAGTCAGCAGGCTCTGGGTAATTTCCTTGGCAGAGAATAGCTTTCAGCAAAACTTTCTGTCCTCAGCTGGAAGCAGAGGGATCGTGGGCAGTCACGGCTCAGCAGGATGCCTGATTCCTGCACTCCTTCACTTTGCTGCATGCAATGAGTGCTGCTGCAAGCACCAATCTGAGCTGATATCCCCTCCGAAAGGGCAGCTTTTAACCTCAGATTATGTTGTTAAGGCATTATTAAGGAAAAATGAAAGGTTTCTCTTCTGCCCCCCGGATGACAAGCCTGAAGCGCTGCCCGTGCACGTTGCTGGTAAATTCACACTTGAGCGTACCAACAGAATGGTAGCCAGATCTGGAAAGGGAAAGTGCTGATTTCGGCTGAAATTGCTAATCTCGGCTCAATTTCTGCTGGCAGGGCAGCTTGGCCTCTGACAACAAAGAAATCTCTGTTCCCTTTTGCATCATGCGGCAAAGCAACCGCCTGCGCTGCAGCTGAGAGCCTGAACAAAGAGACCTTTGGGGCAGAGCTGGGACCAAAACCATGCCCTGCAAGCCATGTCCCAGCACTCGCTGCGTCCCATCTCGGCACTGCAGACCAGGAGGGCGACCGCTGGGAACAGCCTCAGCTCACAAGATCAAACGGGCCTGATGCAGACCTCAAGGGCTGTCAGAAATGAAAGCGAACCCGGCGCCCGGTCTGAAATGTCAGTCCCACTCTCAAAGTTCAACAAGTGCTTTTCCATTTAGCGCCAGACTCAAAGTCTGTAGAGGTGTTTTCTCCTCTAAGTGTTGCTATTTCACACTCCTCAGAATGAGCTCAGTTACTATATCCGACTCGCTAGTAATTCAATGCAAACCACGCTGAACAGCAGCATTTTCTGGGACTGGTCAGTAAGATTTATTTCCACATGCCAGACATCATATACCTGCAAACCAAGCACACAGTTGTGGGTTTTTCCAGCAGCATCCCCATTCTCAGCAGCATCCAGGACAGCCAAGCTTTCCTACATGTGCTCCTGGTGGGGTTTGCTAAGGCTGTTGCTTCATTTTAGAGGGCCAAATGCTTTGCTGTGCTATTTCAGTGGTGAGATTTCCTTGCCATGTCAATCTGCTCCTGGATATGAGGAACGCAGTGGCAAGACGAGTGGACTGTTCTGTGGGTCTGCCTATGTAGCTAATCCAGAAACAGCACTTGGAGAAA